ATTGATGGAAAAAATATGCTTATTTTTCTATATTTGATGGTTATTCAAGTATTCAACAAATAAAAAGTTTTTCTTTTTGAATTAAAATTATTTAATGTCAAAGTTCTGATACAGCAAATTATCGATCTGATAATCTTCATGTTCATATTGTACATAAACTAAATCGAATAATTAATCACAAAGAAAATTAATCGAAGAGAACTTCGTCGAGAAATTAAAAAGGCTTTTATTAAACTCGATAAATAAGTGAGAAAAATTGCTAATGATAAAAGTGGTTCTGTATGTGTAAGCATTTCAATTAAATATATTATTATTATTATTATTATTATTATTATTATTCATTTAATACATATATAAATAGATTGATTTTCTGATCGGCCCAAAACAAATTTATTTAATAAATGTCGGTGATGCTCGAGCTATGATTATTTCAAATACTGGAAGAGTATTAGCATCTACTCAGGATAATGATTGTTTATTTATTTTATTTTCTATCAATAATTAGATCATAAATCGGATAATCCAAATGAAGAAGAACGTATTCACGAAGCAGGAGGTCACATAACACAAAAATCGTCGAAAGATGTTTTACGTGTTGAACGACGTCTTGCAATGACAAGAGTTTTAGGAGATTTTTCTATAGATAAAAATATAGTACCACCTATTCCTGATATAATCATTTATCCTCGAAAATCACCAACAGCATTCATTGTTCTTGCATCTGATGGTATTTGGAATGTTATGTCGAATGAACAAGTTGCTTCATTTATATTTCACCGAATATCAACAACAAAATTAAATCAAATTGCATCACAACTGTTAGATCATTGTTTAGAAAAACAAAGTCATGATAATATGAGTGTACATATCATCAAACTCGAATTCATTAGGAAAGCATATAATCAAAATTGTTTTTTGCTCTGTTGCAACATAAACTAGCATATTTTATTTTGTTTTGTTTTCTATTTTGTCTTTATAATTGATCTCATATTGAGCAATTGTTTAAAAAAATAATTATAGATAAAATTATTTTATTTATTATACTTAATTCTATTTTTCAATAGACAAGTAGCTAAAGTTTTTCTATAATAAATATCGTTCAAATAAGTTTAGAAATATCCATCAATGTATAAAGAAACGTGAGTCTAATAAAGCTTTTCAGAGCTATTCTTTTCAAATCCCTGTTTTGCTTTTTTCATTGATTTACTACAATGGAATTCTAATGTTAATACAAAGGCGAAACATATAGTTTATCTATTGATGTCTATCAAAGCAGTGAAAAACCTTTTTTTATTGTTAAAAATTTATTTTTGTTTAGTAATCTTGTCGGCATGTGAATGACTTATTTTTACACCTACAAAATCTCATAACAGACTGTGACCGACGTTGTTGATATACAATCATAGACCATATAACAATAACGTGTTCTTATACTAGATGAATCTTTTCGTGTTCCTGTT